TGACAAGCATTCGTCTGAATCGGTTTTATGTCGAAAACAAAGTCTGGTTTGCTTATATGTTTAATGCGATGTGATCACCATGGCAATGATGCCGCATCTCATGAAATGAAGCCATATACTCGCTACAACAACATACGTGTCCTATATTTAAACTGAAACATTCTCGGTTACTTTAAATCCAATTGTGATATGTTATCGCCTTCAGTTACCTGTTCTTCACATCCTGTTTTTATATTTTGAAAGTTAGACTTGATATGCAATATCCCAACCACTAAAAGTAATTAGAGTCAGTGTGACTGTGTGTGCGACAGTAATATATTATCGTGGGATTCCTGTGGTAGAGGTTTAACATAAAATGTCCCAATTAACACGTCTACCTGAATTACTGTGTACTAATATAATGAATACTTCGGGGTCAGCAATGTTTTTGTTTTCATTTCTGGAATTTGTGTTCACTGTTGTTATTTGAATAATACCATTGTGCACATGTCTGGCATAAACGTTGTATGGAATGCATGGCCGGTGGGCCAAACTAGATACTTTGCCTTGTATGTATAACTATTTAATAGGTTGTGTTAAGTGGTCGTAATGAAGTGATGCGTAGCATCTCTATTCATTCATAACGTTACATGTAGAAGCGGGTTGAGCTGCAGAACACGGCTACACGTGGTAGCTGTTGACAAGTGTATCGTCACAAGACTCGTTTACGAGTATATAACAAAATGTACACTCCTAGGAAGGACAACAAATATTTAACTTAAGAAAATGTTAATGTGACAAATAATTGTACATCAAGAATATTGTGATGAATATAACTGCATCATTTGTTTCCATGGAAATAATGCTTTTCGGTTTGAAAAATCACCAAAATTACAGAAAAATAAGAATAAATACTAAGAAAATGTACAAAATAAATATATTAAATTCACAGTAATGTTAAATGATTGTTTTGTTTCCCAAAGTACATTGGGAAATCTAAATTAATAGTGCAAACAACATAATCAATGACGTCATCATATCTGATTTGAGAGTGATTTTCTAAGTTATAGGTAAACAACCAGTATTAATATCCCCGGTTGTTTCGATGTTGATATTTTGTGCGTCTTTGCACCGACATGAATGATCAATGTTTTTTCAATATTGTTTTTTGTTCAAGAATATATTTTGGCGTAATGGCGAGTCGTGAAAAGGGAATATATTCAGTTCATATCTCCCATTGGGCGTTGGTAAGATCTATGTGCACTTTCAGAGTAAAACAACATGATAGAAAATATTCTGAAGTTAAAATGAAAAATTATACTCAAATGTCAAAATAACAAACCTGTATTTGTATCAACTGATAATACAATAATGTAGATTTGGAAACAAATGATAAGATAAAAACATATGGTCCACTTTTTGCGTAAAATAGGCATGAGATATATTTGCATGGGTACCACACATTGTTCCATAATGGAGTATGGTATATTTGCATGGCAACCACACATTGTTCCATAATGAAGTATGGTATATTTGCATGGCAACCACACATTGTTCCATAATGAAGTATGGTATATTTGCATGGCAACCACACATTGTTCCATAATGAAGTATGGTATATTTGCATGGCAACCACACATTGTTATGTAATAGTGTATGGTATATCTGCATGGCAACCACACATTGTTCTGTAATGGCCTGTGATATATTTGCATAGCTACCACACATTGTTTTGTAATGCTCTGTGATATATTTCAGGCCTATCAAACATAGTCCCGATATGCACTATGGTATATTTTCAGGGCTACAACACGTAGTTCCGTAACAAGATACAACTACGGTTTACCATGATTTACTGTCGGGTTCTGTTCACCGGTTCCGTTCACGTCTGAAATGTCACGGCATGCGTGCTTTACTGTAACAAGGCTCGAAACAAGTGCCCATTGAATGAAACAAAACTGATATTGCTAAGACGAAGGGATGCAGGAGAACCGTGAACTATGTGCCAGTCGTCACGTTACAAAGAAATGTTCACCCCCCCCCTCCGCTTTCAACCTTGGCTGCGCGGTCTACCATCCGCTCACAAGTATCTATACACTCTTTTTTTTATTACCCTTATTGATGTTTAATTTTTTATTTATTTATTTATTTATTTATTCTATACATGTTTATTAATATTGTTATTCTTGATTCACACAAGTTCAAGATAGTTAGAGTGTGTTCTGGCGAGAGGGTGTTGTGTTATGTTATCGTATTCTGAACAGCCGTTATTTAGTTCTGTTGCCATGACGCAATACGCAGACCATCACTTTCTGACACTGTATGTAAGTCATGTAGCGACGGCCTAGATCACACAAGTGTGAGAATCCTATCCATGACTTGACCTTTGAACTTTATTGAATTACATCAAATTCACAACATCTACTTAATAAATACACGATTTCCAGATGTCTAGTTATACTTCAGAGTGAGCTGAGTATTCCTTCTTTCAACAGACCCAGGCACATATAACTTTAATTGTTAAAAATATGCTCCAGATACATAACTATGACAAGTAAATAAATGTCTCATATTATGACGTATAACGCAGTGGAAACCAAATACATTTATAGAGTCATGTCAAGATCTCTTTATATCCAAGGAAAGCCAGAAAGTATATTGCTCGTGGCGTTTCCTGTGTATAAGTTAGTAGGAGTTAAAATACGAGCATGTGTGCTGATATCTTCGACCATGTAAGGGATACTGTCATTGAAGGCTAGGAGCCATGTGAGTAATGACGTACATTCAGGTTCGTTTACTAGAAGCATTATGGTGCATGGAGCTGCTCTCAACTCAACGTAGAGTTCTAATTACATGCATTTTAATGCCCACTACATTTAAATTGATTTCAGTAAGTGAGGGTGTACTATACATTGTAATCCATCTAGTCACTGACAAAGATTGAAAACAAAGAAAAAATGGAGAAGAAAAATAGTTGAAACCAAGATAAACAAGAAACAACTTATTGGCTCAATTTATCTATGTCACGATCTCCAGAGGAAACATGACGCCAGTTTCATGGTACGCCACGCTGTTATTAGAAGAGTAGTAGCCGCGGTTTGACTTGTATAAACCATATGCGTGATACAGCAAATACTTGACTAATAGTAGTAGCCACTGTTTGACTGTCTATATTTAAATGTGACACACAACATAATAGAATCGTGTACACTAATGCCACGGTACATAACAATGTGTGTTCACTATAACTAATTGAACACATTGACTTTTCCGGGGATTGCGCGGTAAACAGAGAGTTTGTTCACATCTCTACAAATAAAGCAACCTGACTCGTGTGTGGCTTTGTGGTGTTGATGGATGGGCGGGGAAATCAATATACAACTTAATCCAGGAGTGGCGACAATTCACGTAAATTGATGAACTTATCGAATACCTCGTAAAGTGGGTATGATAAGTGTGGTATTGGAGATCAATGTGCATCTACAACCACCAGTCGGGATTTACACTCGTGCATGAGATGATATAGCCAGTGTCTTTGCATGGATACTTTAAATTTGGTTGGTTCAAAACATGTCGCTTCTGACTGTCTGGTCACGTGGGTGGGATTGGGGTCACAATTCGGTGGTTAATTGAATAACAAAGTGCAAAGTTGGCTGTTTTAATGATCAAATCAATATGACAGGAGCCTGGCGTGATGGTTCGAAGCAAGATTAGATTGTTAGAGACAATAGAACAATGGTTTTACGTACCAGCCTTGCAGGGATCAGCATAGACGTCGACGTCCCACAAGTTAACTTCCTTTTTCTCATCTGGTTCGTTTAACGTAATGGATCGGCTGTCGGTAAGCGATGGTAGACAGGATAGACAAAGCAACACACACGTCAAGCAGACTGAAGCAGTCATTGTGAAAACTGCCAGTGCCATTAAATCTATGTTAATTAATCCAATCTGCAGAGAAACGCAGCTTATAAGATGGGTTAGTCAAGTAGTCGTTTAATTCCGTGGGGTGACACACAGGAAGCTTGGTGATTCAGTTGAATACTGAGAAAGCTGCTCCTCAACCAATGCGTGGAAAGCTCGTGCGTAGATGCCGCTTATTTACACTTGTAATCATTGCCGTAATCACGAATCCTATTGAACGAGTGTCAATTTCAAAACAGGTTGACCAATCACAGCTTGGTTTATATAAACCAGGCGGGGCTAGTTCAAAGCATACCAAGCATTCGCTGATTGATTGTTAAAATATCAGCTGGGTTGTATTTAGTTCTTCTTAGTGTTTTTTGTTTGTGTTAAATATAAATAAATAAATATACCACAGGCCATTGCGGGACAATGTGTGATCGCCATGCAAATATACCACAGGCCATTGTATTCCAAATATATTTACAAATAGGGCTTTACCCACTCTTATGTAAAAATATAGTTTTTCGAGTTCAACAAATCGCAAAAACACAATCGGCGCAAAGTAATATGTTGATCTAAAAAATGGTCCGCAACCCCCCATACACACATGAATTTTATAGCAATTACCATACCTAACCTCTCCCCCATACTCACATGAATTTTATAGCAATTACCATATTACCCCCATACCCACATGAATTTTATAGCAATTACCATACCCACCGTCCCCCACGAATTTTATAGCAATTGCCATACCTATTTGCAAAATATTCAAATCAAAAACTGTCATGAAAGTGTATTGATCAACATTACGTCCAAATACAACCTGACCCAATAACATCTGGAATGAGGGTAAGTTCCAGACATTCTGTGGTTATTCGCTACATGATGCGACAGGATAATTGTGGTACTTTTAGTGCCGCACAGAGGATAAGAACAGCCCACGGGAACCATTCGACTTGATGCCCTATTCCGAACCTGGCAAGTGTGCAGTATGAACTCTACCTAGCAGCCTACCACAGGGGGTGTACCCATGATTTCCCGCAGTGGCCCACTTGCAATATTTATATACAGGTAAAATCACTGCCCAGGAGACCAAATCGCTCGAAAACTTACCCCTTGACAAATCATAGCACAAAACCCAACCCTGATTACATATACATTCGTTACAAATCACGGCTATAATTGCCACATATCACGCACATCGACACAGCAAAAATAACATAACCCTTGGATTGAAGAAAATATCGATAAACGGACCTTTGCTAATTTTGAAACATAATTTATGGACCCCTTGACGCCTCACATACTCATTGCTAAGAGTTTACTTTTACACGCCGTGCAATCTCCATGGTGATATTAGGACTCATCAATCATTACAGCTACATGGCAGATTGTGATTCTAACCATATGTACCAAAACAACATACATCTCGTGAGAACCTGCCACAGCACACGTGGTTTTAGGAGAAGATGAACCTGCTCCCAGCATTCGTCAGATGTACTTGATGGCTAATGAAACCTTCGTATAGCCGATACTCAATAAATATTGCTAGAATCACCCATGATGATTTATGTACATAGAAGAAATTTATATAAAATGTGCAAGCATTCTGATATTAAGAACACTCACAATATGTGCCAGAGCCACTATATTCTGTTTGGTGCGCATTCAAGAATTACTTTTGGGTAGTACTAGTATGTGGGTTTGATTGTCATAAAAACAATTTCGGGAATGATTTTTTATTGATAACTTAGAGGTTGCTTTTGATACAAGAGCCAAACAATTGAAGTTTGGGAGAAATTTAAACCGGTTGTTATCATGGAGACAGCAAGTTAATGCCCTTGAAAACAAAT